AAAGAAAGAGAGATTGAATGGATAAAATTTTATTTAAAAATATCTCAAATTTACGTCACCAAAGGCCTCCTTTATAATTACAGAGAAATCTAGAAGAAAAAATCTACTGAAATCTAATTAGATTAAATAGAGATAAATAGATAGATAGATAGATAGATAGATAGATAGATAGATAGATAGATAGATAGATAGATAGATAGATAGCCAAAGGCCTCCTTTATAATTACAGAGAAATCTAGAAGAAAAAATCTACAGAAATCTAATTAGATTAGGTAGATAGATAGATAGATAGATAGATAGATAGATAGATAGATAGATAGATAGATAGATAGAGAGAGAGAGTGTGTGTGAGGGTGGAGAGAGAGAGTGAGTGAGTGAGTGAGTGAGAGAGAGTGAGTGAGAAAGAGTGAGAAAGGGAGGTAGACAAAGGATTCAATCACCAGACTAATTTATGACATTATATAACAATATTTTTCATGAAAATAACGAATCATGGAATAGTCGTCGATAGATAGGTAAGTACCTAGATGGATAGATAAATTAGATAAATAGATAGAGATAGAGAGTGAATGAGAGAAAAAGAGAGTTCAATTACCAGGCTATTTAAATTATGACATCAAATAAAAATATTTTTTCATGCTCTTCTTAAATTGCCATTTTCCTACAACAAAGAGCTATTAAGTAAATAAAGTGCAGGATTTTCACAATAATGTAAGTTTTTCTAACAGCAGTTTTAACACCATAGATCAGTGAAATAACAGCAATCACCAAAAACCAAAATTCCAACGAAAATTTTCAAAAAATTCAGTTTGATAAGACACAAATTTCTATACAATAAATTTTAATAAATAAAAGCAATAACATAACTCTTTGAGCCCTGAAGATGATCTCAATAAAGATCGAAACGTTGGCACGATAAAGAAAATGTTTTTTCTGAAACCTACATCACACCAGACCGCATCTCACGATTTCTGGATAAAAACAATAAAAATGATCGTAAAATAAAAAGTCGGTATATTTTGTCCTCCAGCTAAAATATTGTTACAAACTTTCAATTTTGTCTAATTTGTTTTTCTTTTCCTTATTTTTCTTTTCAATGACAATATTATCGGCAGATACGGAAATCGATGTATTTCTCTTATGGAAACTTCATACGTATTATTCATGCAATTTCAATACTTCCAAGAACTAGGTTCCCTTTATTGTAGAGATGCCAGATAAATATAAAAAAATGTATATATGTACATGTACATACTTATATATTTAAAATATCATGGAATTTGAAAGTGTGTGCACAGCGTCAGTCAAAATATTTTAAAATTAATGACATTTGCATGGTTATTGTAAAATGCAAGAATTAAAATTTTTTTAAAGACAGAAAAGTTGTGATTAGAAAACACATTACTGTATAAACATGAATCGGAATAAATCACATTAACAGCTGAAAGAATAATTAATGAATTACTAAACAAAAACTTTAATCATTTTAAAAACTAAAAGTATAAATAATAAATAATACGCAAAATAAAAAAAAAAGATTGGGCCCTCAAAACTATACAAACTCTTTCATTTTATTGTACTAAAATGTTCAAACGTCTCCAGTTGTACATATATCGATATTTGATTGAAAATTGTGACATTCTTAATGAGAGAAGATTTAATTGACTTGATAAACATAAGAAGTCAACAAATGACTCATTATAGCGTTAAATCTTTTTATTACTCATCTGTGAAGTAGTTTTACGACCTGGTAGTTAAATTTTAATTACGCCTCCGAGATTCCTTGAGTCTCCTTTTTTTCTTTCAACACTTCCTTAAGAGGAACCATTAATGTGAAATGACCATTAAGGCTTTTGAATGTTCAGAGAGATAAATGATTTTTACTTATTTATTTATTTTGGAAAACATATTATCCTTTCATACGATGTTGGTAGAAGCGATTGGTTAATTTAACGGAAAGAAACACTAATAAGTAGATTATTCAGAAATCGTGAGATCCGGTCTTGTGTGAAGTAGGTTTCAGAAAAATATTTTTTTTATCGTGCCAACGTTTCGATCTTTATTGAGATCATCTTCAGGGCCTTGTGTTGTCTGCATTTCAACAAAAAGGTTCTCGGATTGATAGCTCTCTTCTTATGATTGGCGATGTCCTTCAGAATACTTTTGGCTTCGTGGCCATATGTAGTTGAAGTAATAAGTAACGCTAATAAGTAGGTTATTTAAGTGCGTTAAGTTCGCCCTGAAAGTTGATTTGTACTCGAGCGTGTTTCTATTTGAAAACCAAATGGCTTACTGGGAAAAATTAAGTACCATTAAAAGGAAAGTAATAAATAGACTACGTTGAATAGAATAAGAATTATGTGTCTTGAAGACTGGATATGAAGAAAAAAACACCCTAACCAGAAACCAGAAAACAGTCATGTAAGAAATAAAGTACTAATTACTATTTTTACTGATAGATATATAATAAATACATACAGAGACGACCTTATCAAATCATGTTTTCTTTAATAGAAACCCAATAAATAAACTTTATAGTACAAAACTGCAATAATCAATTGCCAATTGAAGGTAGCAAAAGGCAAATTGTTAATGCTTGCTCAGTTAAACTTTACACTTCTCAAATCGAACAATGATTATTTTCTCCTCCAAGATTTAACACTTACTTCTTTAGTGTTTTAAATTTATTAACAGATAATAAGAAAGAAACAAAAAGTACAAGAAGAGAAATACAGCATTACATATTGTAATAACTGATCCGATGCTTATCGATGGCATCTTATTACTTTTTCTTAATGTATTGTTTCATTGTTTGCTTATTTTCTAACAATAACGAGACTTCAAAGTGATTTTTATTCATGGCCCAATTAACTTCGTGTATTTTTTTTCTTATTAAGGTTTAAAAAATTTTACATTAACAGAGATGTGAAAGATCGTCACATTATTCTCATTTGCATAAGATAATTGAAATGTGAGTTGTTATCTATTGTTTTCTGCAATAGGTGTAAACATAAATTTCTAATATAAATGCTGTTAAGAACATACTGTATGGTGTGAAGATCATTAATAAACTGAACAATCAAAGTTGATAAATTAGTACAAAATAAGTATTGGTATATTACAAAGTATGATTGTTAATGTATCAGACCCCCAGTTTGATAGTCAAAATACAGACACCCAGTCTGTATTATGATACTTCCAAATATTTCACATATAAAATACATAGAGCTAAAGACTAAAGGGGTTATAGGCACAAGAAAGGGGTGTTGAATTACCACATTGTGCGAAGAGAAAAAATAATATAGAATATATTTTCATTTTAAAAATATAAATACATTTTTGTTAATCAAAAGCAGGATTTGAATTGTATTGTGTTATGATGGCAATACTCTCCGATTTTCAGGCAAAGGTTTTCACTAGATTTACAATAATGTGCTTTTAAAAATTTCATTGAATAAAAAAATGCGCCAATGACAGTAAGATACCAGAGTCAAATAGCGGCATCTTAAGGATATAACCTGGATGAGGTAAATTTTACATTTATTTTGTCAATATCGAACGCGAACGTAGTCTTGCTGTAGGTACTTTTCCAAGCCAAAAGTTAAGTAATTCAGTCATTAACTTTTGTCAACTCGGATATAATTTCAATGTGCAAAGTTCAGAGTTTTAGTAAATGCAAAGTGTAATCTATTTTTAACTTTAAATGAACTGATTCGTCCATTCGTTCTTGATGGTTTATTATTTCGAGTTTTCGTCGTTTTTGGCTATGTTTTATTTAAATTGGAGTAAATTTTTGTAAAAATCACACTAGTCTCGAGCCTGAAGATCTTTCTGGGTTCTCTGATTTCTTAATCTGCTAATTTCCCGAAGTCGTTATTCAAACGTGTCCTACAAAAGCTCATAATGACAATTTTCACTTATACTCCAAATGCAATTAAAATTTGGGGAAAATAATTGAAATAATATTAAACGCGAACGAATTGTAACAGATAGTTGAAAATTGTTTATTTTTTATTGAATCAAAGATTAGAAATAATTGTTCAGAAATCGGTCTGGTGTGATGTAGGTTTCAGAAAAACATTTTCTTTGTCGTGGCAACGTTTCGATCTTTATTGAGATCATCTTCAGGGCCTGGGATTTACAAACATTGTTTAAATTTAACAAATACATGTAGGATGTGGAAAAAGTGAATTTATACAAATTTTGTAAAATTACACTAGTCTCGAGCCTGATGATCTTTCTGGGTTCTTTGATTCCTTAAGCTGTTAATTTCGCGAAGTCGTTATTCAAACAGTGTCCTACAAAAGCTCATAATGACAATTTTCACTTATACTCCAAATCCAATTAAAATAATAATTTGAAACCTTTTGGGGAAAATAATTGAAATAATATTAAACGCGAACGAATTGTAATAGATAGTTGAAAAATTGTTTATTTTTTATTGAATCAAAGATTAGAAATAATTATTCAGAAATCATGAGATGCGGTCTGGTGTGATGTAGGTTTCAGAAAAACATTTTCTTTATCGTGCCAACGTTTCGATCTTTATTGAGATCATCTTCAGGGCCTGGGATTTACAAACATTGTTTAACTTTTAACAAATACATGTAGGATGTGGAAAAAAGTGAATTTATACAAATTTTGTAAAATCACACGTCTCGAGCCTGATGATCTTTGGGTTCTCTGATTCCTTAAGCGGCTAATTTTGCGAATTTCGTTATTCCACCAGTGTCATAGAAAAGCTCATAATAATTTGAAACATTTTGGGAAAAATAATTGAACTTAAACGCACATGTTGTACTGCAATAGATGGTCGAAAAATTATTTATTTGTTATTGAATCAAAGATTAGATATAATTATTAATTCAACTATTGTATATCACAAAATAACTATTGCTTACAACTTTGATTGGATTTAGGTATAATTAAATATTAAACAATTTTCACACACAAAAACCCTTGAATTCTGTTCTGCTTACAGTAAACTATCTGGGTCTACTGAGATATAAAACATAAGTCTGCGCCAACCAATTTGGATGTATTATTGCGAATATACTCAGCAGTGCATCGTAGTAAAAATAATACAAACCCTGCAAAATCGATTACTGCGTGGCATCCCATGAGCTCAATGGTATGTTGACCTGAATATACTTAACTGATGCCATCTCAACTGGATAGAACAAGTTTTACATCAAAATGGCTGATCATCCATATGAGCTTCTCATTATTATGGATGTTATGGACACTCTACCCTACAGATCAAGTAAAGATTTAAGAAAAATTGCACGAAGATATTGATAATTGAAGGTATATTTAAACGTTTATTAAACCAACTAATTTATTATTGTATATGCAATGCCTTTAACTTAAAAATAAAGACTGTCATTGGATAGCTTAACATTACTTTTCGTTTGTGAGGCCATGTCATCTTTACTAACTACTACATAAAGGAAAGTACGTTTTATTAATTTATTTTAAAAAAAATCAAAGGTCAACACTTGTGGTGAAGCGTTAATTGATGTTACAATATATTTTCTCATAAATTGAGCTTCGCCATTGGATGCTTGTGACCCAAATCGAAAGTTAACATGTTAACATTTCCATGACGATTGTGTGGTATTTACAGATATATTTTATTATAATATTTACATATCGTGGCTGGAAATCTTATGAATACCAAATAGCCCCTGGGATGGCAAAGGTGAAAGGTTATGATCCCGATGGTGCAGCATTGATCTCAAACGCCTTATCCCGAAATCAAACTCCGCCGAATCACCGGGAAAGGATGAGTCGCGCCCGGGGGCTTTTTCCGAAGGTTAAAACCTGCTCTAAAGTCTATATTCTCGTCGTGGGCGATGGGTTAATTGGCGAGGAGACGTCCAGAACCGAATTTTGCCTAAAGGAGTCTCAGGACGCCCCGGGGGCACGGTAGTTACTGCCTTTTACAGAGCGTTACCATACCGGGTCTCTATTAATTCGCCTAATGGGCCGCAGAAGCCCTGTAATACTGGACCTTGAAGGATGTCTTTTTGAAAATTTTCCCCCTTCTAAAGGAGAATCCAATACGAACAGGAAAGGCTGGGATTTTAGAATCAGTCTCAGACAGACCGCCCGGTTGCATAACTTTGAAATGTTTATATTCCCATTTAGATAGCTTCTCTCTAAAGTGCTTAAAAAATTACTGGAAGCCTCTCTCTCGCCTGCAGTGATGACACTGACCCATCGTTTATTTTTCAATAAAACCTTCGGACTAAAGTCACTGTCCCCAGCCATTCGACAAATATATAGCTAAAATGTTTTTATTCAAGCTCTTACTTTATAGCACACTTCTTTTCATCATCCGCCATCCTTCTTACATCTATAAATCTGAATCTATCATTTCTGCTAACAGTTTTTTAAAAAAAGGCTCAGATAGTAGCACACGGAAGAATTCACCACCTAGTCAAGGCGGAGAGGTTTTCAAGAATGAAAAATATTTTTATGGTCTAGTATTGCAAAACTGCACAAGTCAAGAAGATATTTTTTTTATTTAACACTTTATTTAATGTTTGAAGTTATAGAAAATTATTTCTATAACTGGTTCAGCCTTGTTGAATGTGAGACATATTTGTATCTTTTCTTTAAACAAAAAATAAATAAATAAATAGAAACATTTTAGGTGAATATACTGACTGGATCCACCTGTCCTCGCTAAAAAATTTCAGAATTGTGTCATTTTGCTTTGCACATGGACGTGAATGCTGCGAGACCTAAAAGTATTGGTTTTTCAATATTTTTTGACATTTTTCTAATGTTCAGCCTTGTGGATTATTCAATTAATTAAGGTTTTTAGTTAAGATTAAAAAGTCAGTGTCACGAGCGGGATTCGAACCCACGACCTTCAGCTTGATTCGCCGCTACTCTACCACTTGAGCTATCGTGACTTCGATCCTCTCGGGCACTAACTTGCCATCTCAACCCCACCTTTTGAATTTTCCCTCCTTTTTGCCATTTTTCAAATGTTGTGTAACCTATTTGATTCTCGGCGACAATTGAAATGTCCACGGAGAGCTTTAGTGAAGCATACTTCATTTTAATTCATTGAATTCACTATTTTTCGTGGTCCGCTTGACCAATTAATATGTGGATTATATCACATTTTTGTATCAATATCCAAAAAAAAATTAATCACACCTATATCTACAATGCTAAGAGATTGGCATATGTGTCTCAGAAAAGTGTCACCACTTTTGTTCTCACTAACTTGGACTGTCTTCCGAAAAAACGCAATTTGGACTTAATAGCGTCTCAACTAGGCACAAGAATGTCTTCCTTTTTATCAGTCTTTTGACAAAGTATTGTCTTCTTTGGCTGCCCAAGAAAAAACAAAAACTGCCAGGGACGAGACTATGTTGTTTAGGGCTGAGAATACTTAACTCGGAGAGGAAATAGAGTATTTCAAGACGTAAAAGAAGCTTGTCATAAAATCTCGTTCAAATCTTCTATTCGGAGGTGTAAATAAGAATGACATTTTCGTTCACCCATTTAGGTTGACAGTTCACCAAAAACACCGGTTTTAGTTTCTTTCATAAGGTTTCAAAACAAATTCAATTATATTGAATAAAATAATTAGTTGGAGATCGTGAGATGCGGTCTGGTGTGACGTAGGTTTAAAAACATTTTCTTTATCGAGCCAACGTTTCGATTTTTATTGAGTTCATCTTCAGGGCCTGGGCTTTATAAACGTTGTTTGAATTACACAATTTTTATAAAACCAAGGCCCAAATTTTATAAACACCGAAACGTTGGCACTATAAAGAAAATGTTTTTCTAAAACCTACGTCACACTAGATCGCATCTCACGATCTCCAAATAATCATTAACCAACGGTCACACATTGCATAAAATATTGCGAACCACGAACTCTGCTGTGTGCTTGGACCTATTTCTACTGTCTCTTTAGCGTGAACGTAATTCGGGCGCATTTGTCCTCGTTCAATTTCATCTTCCACATTTTACACGATTCTTTAAAAAGCTCAATATGATCCTAGGTTTTGGAGGTGGATTGGTTAATATTGGAGTCAGGTCGGCGTAGGTTGTAAGGATGACGTTGGGATGTATCGGCAGGTGAGCAGTATAAACGGTATATAGGATGGGACCAAGAATGCTCCCTGGTAGGACGCCGGCCTGAATCGGGCTTGTCGGTGCGAGACCTTGTCAAAACCTTGTGACATGTTCTTTTATTGTGACATGTCTAAGAATGCACCTGAAACAGTGCTGAATCTCGGAATGCAACCAAATGGTATGAAGGACTAACACAATTAGTAATACGTAAATCTAGGATGGGTATTAGCAGTTTTAAAAAGGAGTCTTTCAAAGTCGTTTGATATCCTGGGAGAAGGCTGATAGATCTGTAAGAAGATATGTGGCAGGGAGGTCTGTGGGGTTTAGATATGAGATTAATTATGGAATATTTAAATAATAGGGAAAAGTGAGAGATTTGTTAACAGTAAATAAACAAATTAACACAAACCCATAGCTGAATATGGCAAAAAGTCTAAATGCCGAAACGGTCTAAGAATTTCAGGAAAATCCATGACATTTTAATTTGTCGTTTGAAATTGGGATAATTTTATTGTTTCGTTTTGTTTTTAATTTTGTCTTATAATTTTTCTTTGTGAATACGTCAACTGACTAAAAATTGTGCTTTTTAGCTTTTTACTAGCAAAAATTGATCTTTTCAAGAGGCCATCTTTGATTTTAAAAGTGTTAAAAGATATACCAACAAATTCATGACAAATGACACCATAGAGCGGCACCAAAGCACCAGGCTTATCGTTAGCGCTGATTATGCGCATGTTTTAACCCTTAGGATTTTTAATTAGCCTGTGAATTAAGTTATTTTCATAATGAGGCGGGGTGTTACGCAAACGTTGTTTCCACCCGAGCGCATACAAATAAGCGTGTAACGACCAGCATCTCTCGCCTTCTTCAGCGCTAGGATTCCGCTCAAAATCACTTTCTAATAGATGTGTCATCTATTGTATTCACCTCCTATTGTTTCTGGTCGGGATCTTTTGAAGTAGACCGCTCCTCCTTTTTTTTTTAATTTGATGTTCTTTAAAGTTCACAGTTACCGGAATGGTCCATCCAATCCGTGATTCCAGGTGATTTGAATTCCTGACGGGAGAATCCGAGGACGATTAAAGTCTTTGGAATTCGAATTGGTGATTTGCCGTCGTAAATTTAACAAAAACAAAATTCTTTAAGGACATATCTCCTAACTAACATTATCACACCTAAAGGCAGATCTTTAATAATAAACTGACAACTTAATCTTTTACAACTGACAGGCCACAAAATTTTTTTGTATAAACCTTTTTTTAAACAAATGAATATTTAAAATATTGAATTTCCAATACAAAATAAGAATAAATATTAACACACAAACATATTACATAAAATATGTATTTCTCAAACAGTACTACTATTTTTTTTTTCAATTTTAGTGTTGTTTTGTTAAATCTGGAGTTGATTAAAAAAACACCGTTTAATCTTACAATATTTTTTTTTAAAAATTTCGGAAAAATAATAAACAAAATTGTGATAAATACAGCTGTTTTACGTTAAATGTAATGTGTGGTTTTGACCACAATTTGCTTTTTTATTAGATTTTCTTGGAAGAATTATCCTAGGCTTGTGTTTATATCATCCTCTACTCACGACATGCTTGCTTGCTATTGAGCACTTGCTCAATAATTGAACGAGCCTGTTAAACCTGTTAACTTATTAGCACAGTGAAAAAATCTCCAAAGATTAAGTAACCCAACGATGAACTACTGATTGTGTAATATTTCAATAAAATACAAAATAAAATGAAGGTTATTGTTTAATTATTTAGAATGGTTAATATTTCACAAGTATTATCTAATATTACAAGAACGTAATACTTGTATGGATCAACATGGTCAGTATTTTGGAATTTGATATTGATAATAATGGAACTAGTGTTTCTTAGGTCTTTGATATAGATAATATACGTAGTTTTTCTTTTTTTTTTAATGGTTGATCTATTTTCCAATACCTACATTCTTTCTATCTGCAGATAGGTTAGTAGAAGTCCCATGGATACAGCCTTGTAATTATTTTAAGCAATAGAATGTACACCTGCAGTTGTGTAAAACAAGAACTGCAATTTTTTTTTCAAAGTTGCCAGTTATAGGGAATTGATCTCGGTTTATCAATGGTTCCAGGTGATTCGAATTCCTTTTTAGAATCTGAAGACGACCTTTAAATTCTTTTAGGTTGTCAAGTGGCAGCTTTGATGT